ATCACATGGGACTTTACTTAAATCTTGAGTGCCACACTCGCCCTTGTTGCTTGCCTTTGACCTCTACCTACCCTCAACCCTCTGCCCTGTGAATGGTGGCACTCGTCACTTTTGTTCCCTCCAGTCCAGTCCTCTGCTTGCCAGCAGGCACACTGCCTGCAACTATGTAGACAATAAACATTACTGCACTTGTCTCTCTAATCAGTCATTGTGATGCCTGTGTTGAGCTCAGATCCTGCAATGACACAACCCAGCCCCATCATTTCTTTTTAGGGACCTATGCTAGTAATATACCATACCACACAGCTGACTTCAGCGTCCCCTTCTGCCTTCAACATAAAGTGTAAGCAGCCAGTCCATTTCATAATAAGTACCACAATAGATGCTCATCTCTCTCCCCAACTTTTTTGTCTCCCTTCTGCTCTTCTGCAGTTGCCTCTCCTTCATTGTCCTCCTTTTCTTTTAGTTCGCCTTCCTTTTTGAATTTGCATTCGTGCATCCGCATTGTTTCCAATGCCAAACGATTTCTTCAATAATTCCATGCATTCGCGTACTTCTTCCCGCTCTGCAGCACAAGCAACAATCGTCAAGCACACACTTGCAACAATGTCCATGTACGACCACTCCCAAGGTGAGATCCTCTCTCCGACCCCTTGCATACTTTCCTTCCCCATCCACCATTCCATGCTTGACGTGCATTTACATTACCTAGTGCCGTTCATGACACCGTTTCGAATAACGGAAGCAGTGGCCCACCACTCACCCCTCCTGAGCCGAGTCTGTCCACACCTTCCACTTCTCCTCCTCCCTTCGAGCCAGAACGTCCAAGAGATACACCTTTGAACAACTCAGTTTACTGTACCTCCGATTGTAAGACGTAGTCAGAGCATGTAACGCGCAGGTACAAACACAGCTTTGCCTGCAGCCCAAATCATCTCGTTCAACGCTCCGGATCACGACCCCGGTGCACCCCTCACACTCGCTACACGCCATTGCAATACATCCACCTCCTCGCTCCAGTTAGCCACTCACGTCAATGCCAATACTCATGCTCACATCTTTAGCCAGACAGTCTCACAACTTCTCTCACAAGTGCAACCTCAACCTACACAACACGTACAACCTTACAACTGACAGGCACACGCAATTCAACTTGCAGGGACCGAGCAACGACTAAGTCTTAGTGACTAAGACCACATCAAACGACTCAAGAACGCATTCATTGTCTTCTGTTGCGAATGCTGTTTGAAAAAGAATGAGGCGGAGGCTGCACTACCTGTAGAAGATGACCTGGTCGCACAACATCAGCGCCGAGCTGACCTCTCCAAAACAATCTCATACCAATGGGGTTCGCTGTTTGTAGAGGAACGTAAATACTGGGGCGAACTCGCAAAGCAGAGGAAGAAAGAGCACAAGGAGATGAATACCCATGGTACGTCTATCGGTTGTTGTGATTTGCTAAGGTAGTGATAGTTTTGTTTCTGTTATAATGTGTTAATATTATGTACCGTTCGGCATTGTTAGTAAAGAATAAAATATTTAAATAAAATATATATTGTATAATAAGCCATTCAGATAAGATATAAGCTGTAAATTAACTTATTTAAGGATTATAAGATAGCAGAAGAAGTATTATGCCATATCAGAAGAGGGGTGCAATATATACCATTATAGACTCTCCTAAGAGCTATAATTCTTATATCCCCATTGTAAGGACATGTAATGTTTATTAATTCTCATAATATAAATCTGTCTTATTACAACCTTATAGTATCTTTTATATATCTTATCCAATGAGGGGTGCAATAAATGTCATTATGGATAATATTGTTTTTTTACATATTATATATGCATATAAGAGTATATAATAATTAAGACTTTTTCCTGATGGTGTGTCCATCTTTTCTTTCTTATTGTCACTTGCTAAATCACTCCAAGTCTGTTTCACAGGCACAGCCTCAACCTCCAAAACCTGCTCGACCTTGCAATTCAACTTGCAGGGACTGAGTGACAACCAAGGTGTAGTGACAAAGACTACTTTGTACAGCCCAAGAACACATTAATCCTTTACCAACACGAATTCCGCTTGCAGAAGAACAAGGCAGAGGCTGCTAGTGATGCAGGGATTGGGACTGTAGAAAT